CCAATCGTAACAAGCTTTGATTTATAGATTGTATAATCTTGGTTGGATAGGTTTAATAATAATAAATATCACTTCACTACACTTTACATATATCTATCTATCCTTTACATACAAGATTGATTAATTCTTTGTATATTTATTAATTGGTGGTTTTTTTTATTATTTCTTGGTATTAAAATAAATATGAATTTTTTAAAATTATGTAATTTAATTAGTTAATTATTATAGGTGAAAGTTTCTTCCTATTGCTGTGATTTGAGTTCCAAACCCAATTTTTATATATAAAAAATAAATTTATAGCCATAGCTATAATATAAATTATATATAAGTGTTTACATATGGTTAACTAGAGGCATTTTATGAAACTTAGTAAATGCTATTTAGGATTTTACCAAATCCATAAAGCAGCTGCGCAATGTAGTTGCGATATTTGTTATCCATATTTTGGCCATACTTATTCTAGAAGCTATTTCGCTTTTTATGTAAGCAGAATTAAAATATGCTTACTGGTAAATAAGCTGTATATATCAAGAATGAAAAAATATTTATCTTATAGATCAAATTTTATTTGATATCGGATAAAAAAAATATACGCACATAATCGACTTTATTTAGACCGAAATTTCAATTACAAATAAAATATCATCTATTATACATGTGCGTATACAAGATCCTCTATATAGGGTTGTTAATGGGTTGGGTTGGTTTGGTTTGGTTAACCCAGTTTTTAACCTACTCCACTAAATTAGACTTACTCCAACAGGTTGCTTCAGATTGCTCCAAATCTAAAGGTATAATTTTAAATCTACTTTAACTTAGGTTTGGTTCTACTCTAGAGTGTTTCGGAGTAAGCTACTCTATTAACAATCCTACTCCTATATATCAGCCCTACTCTAATTATTATTATTTTTTTTTACTAATTAAATTTTTTGGTGAAATATAAAAAACCCAGGTCTTGTATATACATATGTACGGTAATTGCCATACTTCATAATTCAAGTTCACGGCTATTAAAGATTTGAAAAAAATAAATAAATAAAAATTTTAACTATAATGAATCATAAAATATACTGTATTCCATTACAAAATTATAATGCAATTATTATCTTGCAGAATTTAATTTTTTTTTTTTAACATTGAAAATTAAAATAAAGCGTTACTTACAAATTTTCATCATCCTCATTCACATTATCCCAAGAATGATACCTATACTATCATCGCTTCAGTCTATATTGTTTAATGAAAAAAATTGCATCAGTTTCTTATATGATAAAGAGATTTTGTATGAACAGCCCGTGTGCAGTATATGTAGTGCTAGGACGTTGAGGTATAACAAAGTTTTCCAATGTAGGCGAAAAAGGTGCAGAAAAGCCATGTCAATATTTAAGAATTCATTCTTTGCTAAAAATCGATTGAAGGCCAATAATGCCCTTTTAATTAACTATTTATAGCTTTTCAATATATTACATAAATCAATTATGGCTATCACGGGCCATTCATCATATACAATAACAGATTATATGGGCTATTATAGGTTATTAATTAATTAAGTTTTTTTTTTTTTTTTAACAATTTTTTTTCTAGATCTCTTGTTGGTTTTAATGTTCAAGAGACTCAAGGTAATATTGGGGGCCTGGATATCATAGTGAAAAATAAATGAGTCAAAGTTCGGTAGATGAAAATATAATCGTGGCCATTGCGTTGATGGAGTATAGGTTTTTGGTAGCATAGAGAGGACCCCAGAAAGAAAAATGTTTGCAAGGGCTGTTGATGACAGATCAGCTGAGATACTACTCTCTTTAATTGAGGAAAAGATAAACCCCGGGTCTATTATTTATTCAGATCTATAATGTGCTTACACAAGAATAGGCTCTAATTTAGGGTTTCAACATCAAATTGTAAACCACAGCTTAAATTTTGTTGACCCTACTACTGGCACCCATACGAACACCATCGAAGGAACCTAGAATAGTATTAAAATCCAGGGTAGTAATAAAAAAAATTAATTTAGTTAATTTAATTTTTTTTTAAAATCATAATTAGAAAAAATCTAAACAATGCCCATATACTTTGTGCTTCTATAGTAATTTGTACCTGTAATAGAAATTAAGATTAGGTTAAGGTTAAAACTAAAATTAGAGTTAGAGTAGAGTAAAAATTGCTAGAGGAACATTTTTACTTACACGATAGGGGTTACCTATATAAATCACGAGATATCTAGTAGAGGCACAAAGCATATGAAGTACTGTTTAGTTCTGTTTAAATTAATAATAGCTAATTGCAACTACAGTAAAATCTCTATAAGTACATCTACATCTCTAATTTGGGCCCAACAATATAGATGATCTCTATAAATATTTTTTCTTATTGTTCTCTAAGTTGTTAAATTTTGGTCCCAGGTGTGTGCATTTATGGAAACTTTACTATAATTACCTATAGATGCAAAATAATGCCCAGGAGTAATTTCAAATTATGTCATTATTATGTTTAACTTAGACCATAATTTACAATAATGCTCCTGGCATTATTTTGCTTTTACCAAAATAATCAAAGTTGATCTGATTAATCAATTGTATAGTTTTTTTTTTTAATTTAGATTTTATCAAGAAGCTGTACAAGATCTAAAATTTTAGACCACTTGTTTGAGTTTATATGGTGCTGACAGAACAAAGATAATCTTTGGAAGAGGATGTGAAATGTATGAAAAATATAGGATATTTTGAAGAGGAGGAAGTAGGTAAAATAGTTGAAAGTGGAAGTGAAGAGGATGAAAGGGGAAGTAAAGAGGATGAGGAGGAAAACGAAGAGAATAACGAAAGGGAAAATGGAAAAAATGAGCATGATGATAGGTATGATGAAATGAATAAAAATAATGAAGATAAAGAGAATGAAGAAAATGACAGAAGAAATAATGAAGATGAGCATGATGAGTATGATGAGTATGATGAAGTGAATAAAGAGAATGAAGAGGAGGATGAAGAGATGGATGAAAATGGTGAAGAAAATGATGAAAATGATGAAGAGAAGAATGAAGAAGATGAGCGTGATGATGAGTATAATGAAGTGAATGAAGAAGAGAATGAAAATAATTAGAGAACAACAGGAATGAAACGAAGATAAGAATAAAAAGATAGTGATAACGAAAATGATGATAGTTATTATAGAATCGAGAATGAAGATGAGAATAGGAAAGGTATTAATAAAAGTGGTGAAAAAATAATAGAAAAGAAAATTGATAATCATTTATTACCACAGCAGCTACCTAAAAATTAATGCTTAATATTCAAATCATTCAATCTCTATCAGTTAAATAATTATAATTAATATTAATAATAAATTAATTAATATATCAAAACAAAATATAATTATCTAGATAATATAATATGAGTGTCACTAAAAGAAAACCCAAACATTTAAATATATCATATTTAAATTTTCAGATTTTCTTTTAGCGACACTCATATAATGTATTCAATAAATTGGCTTTAATGAATATCATCAAGATATGTTTGTGAATACGTGGTTTTAATAAATTTGCAGTTATAAACATTGTTAGAATATGTTTATAAATATGTGCTCTTAATCTTTTTAATCTTCTGAATTTTGGAAATATTTTTATCTCTATACCATTCCATAATGATCTTACATAATGCTTTTATTTCTGCATATTTATTATAAGATACAGATTTTCTATACAAAATTATCTCCAACAAGTAAATGTCTAATGCTGTTGTATATTGACATCGGTTTAAAATTTCTGGTGCTATATATGAAGAACTTTATAAACCTATGATATTCTTTCCTGAATGCAATAAACATGCTATATAATCTATTTTGTAAAATATTACAGCTATGTAATCACTCTAAAAAAAAAATTAGTTAGAAATTTCTAATTTAAAAATACATTCAAATATATTAATAAATAACTTACTTTTTTATAATTCTGTTTCCAATTCCGTATTTATAGTGAATGGCAGTTTTAAAAATTTAATAGAATTACCTGACTTCAAATAATAATATCCAACAATTTGAAAATGAACAATAAAGCCTGACAAAACCTGCCAAAAAGCGATGCCAGAAATCAATAAAAATAGTGAAATCAATAAGGATAAGCTATTTTCCTTACAATCAATTTTATTAAAAGCTAAAGAAAGTCTTAGATTGAACTATTCTTTTTTAGCAGTTGATCTAACTAGTTAAACTTATTACCAGATACTTACTGAATGATATCATATTGAATGAGAGATCCAAGAATCCTTTTGTAGCATTTGAGAATCACCCTTAATAAAGAACCCAACAATCTATTTGTTAATAAATCTAGGGTGAATGTCTTTACTAAGCTTGCTATATGTGGATTGACTCAATGCCAATGTTCTGATAATGGAAGTTTAGTAAGTTTTTAAGAAAAGATTTTGCAAGATTAACAGTTAGTAACAAAATGAATCTTCTAAAAAGAAGTATAAAGACAGTATTTATAGACATGCTATTAGGCTGAAGGTTTACTTGCACAAATTCTGATACTTATAGCTTCAGTCTGTAATAGTATTATACTTAACCAATTTTTCTAATAATCTGCATTCAGCCAACATTAAACTCAAATGTTGATAATTCAGTGTTTCAAAGTCATGAGTTGTGATGTAACTATAGAGTCTATCAAGTTGTCAAGTTCCTTTTCAATAATTTGGTGAAAGTGCCTTTTTGTATATGTCTTTGTGTTTGCTTTAAACGAAAGTATAAGGCTACTAGCCGATAACCTTGTTAGTCAAGTATTAATTCACATTAAACAGCAACAAAGTTTTTAGATCTAATCTGAATTTTTTAGATCTTAAATAATAAACCGTTTTATACAAACTTAAAATCCTGTTACTTATATTCTTTACTCTACAGCAAGGATCTTACATGATCTAAAGGATCTAATGAACAGTAATTAAAAAATACGGATCAGTTACATACATACGTACGTACGTACATATGTATTTTTATGAAATAACGTGCAGGATGTAATTTTGAATTTTGGCTTAATTCAGGTCAAAATTTGAAACAACGCTCTATATATTTAAAATTGATTGATATGGCTAATTTTGCTGATCTCTTGGCAAAATTCCCAGAAATGCCGGGGTAAGCTATACTATATTTGATCTATACTGTATAATATGATAATTATTATTAAAACAAATAAACAAAAAATTAAAAAAAATTAAAATTTAGCTTATATTAGTGTTAGAGTTATAGCTATAATTAGAAATAAAGATTAGTACAATACTAGACAGCAAAAAATATCTAATTTTTTTTAAAAGTGCTAAATTTTCAGATTTATACTCAAATCTGATCAACTATTTTTTGTATAACAATATTCTGATTGGTTAAAAATTTATAAAAATAATTTTTTTATATATTAAATATCAAATTTTTGATTATATAGTAAATTTAGACTTTAACTTTTTAAATTTATAATAAAAATAAAAATTTATTCTAACAAAATTATAGTTTATACTAAAAGCAACAAATATATAAGACAGACTTTTTTTAAATTTATTTGTTTATAAATTATAAGTTTTATATATTTATATATAAAAAGTAGATATTTCTTGCTGTTCAGTATTGTATATACCAAAATTGTGCAAAAAATTTTTTTATTAGAACACAAAAAGTGGTTTCATAAGAAAATTTTGAGTTTTTTAAAAAAACAACAAAGATTGATTTGATTTTATATTATATCTGATTTTAATATTATACTACAGATTATTAATTTTATTAGTCAAAATTGATGTAGTATTGGCATCACTATTGTAATTTAGTAAAGAAATTTGCTAATTTATACCTTAGGTGATTATTATCTATATCATTAATATTTTAAAATTTTGTTTATAAAACTATATTTTAAGCTCTAACAAAAAATTTGTTGCAAAATTTTACTATAAACAATGCTTTTGCTTTTATTCTAACCCAAACTATAAAAATATTACTTTGTGTTTTAATAAAAATTATTTTGTTGTTTTGTTATGTATTGAAAAATTGCAGATAATAATCACTTGTAGTAATAATTAGTTATTTTTTTAGTAAAACTATAAATATATATTATATATTATTAATAAAGAAAATTACTATTTATATATGGTGTGTTTGAATACGGGTATTAATTTGTAAATCTGTGTAATATACCAATCAAAACAAATTTTATAAACAAAAAATTAAGCTCTTACTTCAGGTTAGGGTAAGGATGTATTTAGGATTTGGGTAGGTTATAGCCAGTGTTAGGCAAATTAGTGGTCGACCAAAAATTTGCTGGTCAAATTGGTCTGGTTAAATTGGTCAATTGGTCAAACTGGTCTAATTGGTCAAGTCTATTATATAAATATAATATATATATTGTATTATACAGTATAATAAATCATATTTAAATATTCTATTTGACCAATTTGACCAGTACAAATTTTTTGACCAGGCTAGTCAAATTGGTCAAATTGGTCTGGTCCAATAGTTAAACTGGTCTGGTTAAGCCAACACTAGTTATAGTTTATATCAAAATTTCGCAAGAAAATTTTTTTGTTAGAATCCAAAAGGTGGTTTCATAAGCAAAATTTTGAGATATCAGTAATATTTGGAGAAAGCAATAATTTTATGTTATACCTGATCATGCAATCTGATTGGCTCTCTATATTAACTGTGTATATACACACTGTATACAAATAGAAATGCTCATTAATAAATAATTATTTTATTTAAAAAATACTTAATATACATACTTTAATTTTCTAGTCAAATTTGTCTGAATTATAGTTCAAGAGATAGTATTTTTATAATAATAAAAAAACTAATTTATAAGCTGTAAAATTCATATTTCTATTTTAAAAAAGTTTTTTATTTAAGTTAGAATTAGATTAAAATCATAATAAACAACAAACTTAATAGCAAAATTTAGTAAAAAAAAATTTATTTATAATACCAAAAAGTGGTTTTATAAACTAGATTTTGTATTATAAATAATTTTTAATTTTTTTATAAAAAAACTTGGTTTGTTATATAAAGAAAATTTGCAGATTATACTAATTTTGTAATTTAATTAGTAAAATACAGAGCTATGAATTTTACAGCATGTTAAGATTAGCAATACTCTAATAATAATAACAATAATTAATATTAATATTTTTACTATTCTGCACCATAGATATTAAATACCATATATATTACACAATATAAAATTTTAATTTAATTTATATATAATAATAACAATAAATACAATTTTTAAATTTATTGTATAATATACAACAACAGCAGCTATATAAATTATGAATATAATCTCTACAACTAACCTAACCTATCATTAAAATAAATATAAACTATACTTTAACTCTAATCTTAAGTCTTCTGCTATCACATTATGCTATCTCAATTTCACAGATTCTTTGACCAACTAGCAATTCTGAATTTGTACCAGAATTGTATACAGATTATTTGAACTACAGTTTAGATTTTAAGATCAGATACAATATAATATGAACAAAAAAGTTTAAAACAAATATTCGTTTATCAAAAATCACTTATTTCTTAAAAAATTACATTTTATTATATATATATTTTTTAATCTTTAACCATAAAAAAGCAATAACCTTGACATAAATAAACTTTAAAAAAGTTTGACTATATTACAAATCAAATACATATTTAAGTATTACTACTAACTTTTTAATTACATAATCATACAAAAGCAACTTTTATCAACCTGATTTTTGTATTAAATTGATAAATTACCTTGTAATTTACACTAATTTTAATCTAATCCAAACTTAATAACCCTATATAAACTTATTCTAATTCTATCTAACTATACCCTAATTGTAACCCATTAATCCTATTCTAATTCAAACTCACTAATTTTAATTATTACCAAAACTTATTTAAAAATATACTACATTTGCACATTTGACTTCAAGATTAGAAATATAGTATAATACAATCAGAACAACTCAAAGGAAATACTATTTTATTAAAAATAGCTTATGCCACTATTTGCCAAGAACTGTTTCAGAAATTAATGATTTAATACAAAGAAATTTCTACATCTTTTATATCAGAATAGCTGTTATTTACAATTCTTAAATATGTGCCAGGTTTGTAATATAGTTTTCTTAAACTACAAATCAGACTCAAGATTAAGTATAATATAATACAATTAGAAAAATTTTAAACAAATATTCATTTTATCAAAAATTGCTTATTTGAAAATATGTATAAAAAATTACTTTTAGTACTATAACAAAAAGTTTTTTTGT